TTTTTTTTTTTTTTTTTGCTAAACCAGTTACCCCCCTCCTAAGGTATTCCCACAAAACCATCCCTTACTTTTCCCCGTAGCCACAGGAGCAGCATCGAGCCCTCGTAACATGTCCCGTAGCACTTGAGTTTTGACTGCGTGGTTGGCCCAGAGCTGCTGTAGGTGGGTAACGTTGAACTCCTGCACCTCTCGGTCGTAGAGCCACTGAAGGTTTTCGAACTCGCAGTCGTACAGGACGAGGGGAAACTCGACTGCCATGCTAGGGAAGAGGAGAGAAGGCGTTGCATGTTGCTGCCTGGAGGGATGCCATGACAAAAAAGGCTCGTGCAACAGGCGTCAGCCTGTCCTTTCTGCCAGAAACAGCCCTGTCTTTCACAGAACTCCTTTTTCCGATTAAAAACTGGATTAGTTTTAACTGAATACCAAGGACTAAAGCCATCAAAGGCTTGTCCAAGAGCAAGAAAAACGGGATCCTCAGAGATACCTCCCAGAGAGGCTGCTGGCAGCTTGCTTCCGCATTGTGAGAGACTGCTTCACAGGCTGGCAGAGAAGTACTTTGCCAGCAGGACTTCACATGCAGCCGGCTATTCTTCCGCTGCGCTTTGCAAAGCAGCCCAGGAGGTTTTCCCGAGTTTTCCATACCTGTACTGAGGTTTTCGGGGGTTTTTCTCCACATCCAGCAGCTCATCAATGATCTCTGGCCTCTCCATCCTCTGGCCGATGAGGAAGAGGATCGCCATCATGCAGCGGACTTGGTGATAGAGGAACGCCTGTCCTGTCACTTCAAACTGGCACAGACGGAAGGGATCCTGCAGCCCGCTCTCTCCTCCTCTCTCCACCCACGTTACTCCAGCACTGAGAATCGTTCTCTGGAAGTTGACCACCCCATTGGCGACGTCCATTTTACACAGGTTACGGAAATCGTGTGTCCCCACGTACCTCTGGGCTGCGACGTGCATGAGGGGCACGTCCAGGTTGGCGCAGGGGAAGAAGTATCGGTAGGTCCTCTTGAGGCAGCTGAACCGGGCGCTGAAATCGGGCTCCACAGGGGCCCAGGCCAGCACCCGGATATCAGGTGGCAGCACCCTGTTCAGAATATGGGTGTAGCGGAGCTCCTCCTCCCCCTCGCTTTTGCCTCCCGAATCGCCCTCGTGGCCATTTAGCTTCTTCCCCTCCGACAGGTTGGAGCGGAGATCTAGGGAAATCACCTGCAAAATGAGGAAAACCAGGATTAGATCGCAGATGGGTCTATTAGGCGCGCTAAGCCAAGTCTTCCTACACCGCTGTGAAATGAATTCAGGATCTCCTACAGATGAAGGTGCCTTAAATCAGGCGATCTCACCACTCCTTCCTGCGGGTAAAGCTGCAAATGCCTCTACTAAGGCTCCTAGCAGATGCTACGGATTCCTTTAATAAAACAGAGAAAGTTGCAGACTGCCTACATAGCACGGTTTCAAAACGGCTTCAACTTTAGTCGCTGTTTTTAGGATATAATGTGCTTTTTTTCTTTTTTTGCTGGGGGTGATGACTTGAACCCAGGAACAGCCTTGCTGTCTGGGAAGCCTGGTGTGGGAACAAGTTGATTAACGCTGCAGGTGCCCATGCGCTTTAAACGATGCAAGAAAAGGCGGCCCCTGCCCTTATTTCATGCGGCTCATCTTGCAGGGAAGAGCAGACCACCCATCCGAGCCAAAACCGCCCCGGCAAGGCAAAAGCTAAGCCAGCTCCACTTCCTGAGCCGGGAGGGAAGGAGCCTGGTCTGACAGCGAAGCCGTCACAGCGCAGGAAGGGCTGCGCTTTCCCTGACGGCTCAGCCGGCCTGATGGCTCCATGCCCACCGAGCGGACCAGCTCGCTCCCCTCCCTCCAGCTCCCACTCCCACGCTCCCTTCCGTTAGCTGCGGCTCCCCTCAGACCCTTCTGCACAGGAATTCAGCTGCCTGACTCCACAGGAAGCTATCCAATTCTTGGATTTTTTTTTTTTTTGGTAGGTTAGTGAGTTAAATGAGCTGAGAGGGCTCTGCCAAGCGCTGCAGTCGGCACAGGAAGAGCAACAAGTGCGTCTGTGGAGGAAGGGGCATCTCCCCTTTTTTTTGGCAGCTATTGGGGAAGCTGCAGCCTAAAAAACATTTCATCCTCTCAAAACAAGCCCCTGGAAAAAAACCCTAGCACTAATATGGAAAAAACCTAGCACTAATAAACACTTTGAGGGTCTAAACCCATCATTCTGCATGCAGGAAGCCATCACCAGGCTCACTTTCAGATTTAAAAGCTGATGGCTTTTCAAAAAAACGAATCCGACCTGTGCTGCTGTGGCTCATCACTGCAGGACAGTCATCCCAGTGGATCTCCATCCCACAGAGGAGCCCAGGAAAGCCATGGGGGGCGGATCCTGACCTGTCCGAAGGCGCTGACTCCTTTGTCTGTCCGCCCGCAGCGGTGGTAGTTGGAGGTCTGTCTGTCGTCTACCAGCCGTGTCTTCTTCAAGGCTTCAAACAGCTTCTCTTCGATGGTGTTGCTGGTGTTCTCCTGGCTGGCAAACCCCTGGTAGCCCCAGCCCAGGTAGGCGATCCTCAGCGCCACGTGTCTGCGGCCGTAGGCGCCAAAATCGAACGGCCGTTGCTGGCGTTTCTTGGCTTTCCCAGGAGCCGAAGGAGCCTCTCTTCTCCCGGCGCCCTCCTCGTCCTCTTGGAGCTTCTCCTGCAGCCGCTTCACCTCCTCTTCCAGCTCCCGCACCCTCCTCAGGAGTCCCTCTCGATCAGTAACTGCGGTCTCCTCGGCCGTAGCCGCCATCTTGGAGCCTCAATTAGTTGCTGGTAGCTCCTTGGGGTCTGCAGAGAAAGGAGATCAGGGGGTTGCATTTTTATCTGGCTTTTATTACACCTATAGGTTTGCTCTGTAAAATGATTGTTACCCGCAGAATAATTAGTTTTTTAACTCCTCAGTGTTCCGAGCAGAGCATGGGAAGGGCTGAGGGGGCTTAGCTAGGGCAGCTTCATCTTACTCAAATCTCTTCTTTTGGCACTATTTAATCACTCCTCTTCCCAACGATGGGATCTGCTCTGTCAGCCCGGGCATGGCGGTGGCAGCACGTTCCCGGCTAGCCTTTTGCTATCCGCGCTGAGCCGTCACGGAGCCCTTTCCATTTTCACACCGCGCTCAGCCAGCATCAACACTTCAGACAGCCTGCTAACGGCTGCCATTCATCTTGCCGCACCATCTGCTCCAACATTCCATTACTGTTAAAAACTTGCAATTTTTTTTTTTTTTCTTTCAAACCCGCTTTGCGGCGTAAAATATCCCAGACCTGTGTAGTGAGTGGAAATCGTGTCCGGATCCCTTTTCGCAGCGGGTCTTGAGGTTTACTATAACCAGACTCAAACAGCCTTTGGGCTACGATAACCAACATCTAAAGAAGCATCTAAACGTGCCGTGCTGAGCCTCTTCCTCCTCTGCGGAAGTAAAATACCCTCTTGGACATCCCCAGATTAAATCATGACTAGATACCACATTTTTAAAACAAGAATGAGAGGAAAATTGTTATATACATCCGCTTACAAAGCGAACTGAATCTGCCCTGGGTTTGTCCATCGTCCCGTTAGTGCTTTCTATGTAGCAGAATTAATTTTAGCATAATTTTTAATTTAATTTGCTGCAGGGAAAGGGCCTTCTGCTGGCGGCAGGAGGTTTAGCAGTGCTCCCAGACCCCCCCCTCTGATTAACCGCAACCCCGAATCCCAGAAGTTGAGCGTCAGAGCCCCCCCTTTATGTCTTCAGCCATATGCTGCAAGAAATTAACTGTGGTTTGTTTGGGTTTTTTTGCAGAAATCATGGAGGAGATGACGGGACCGGACAGCTATAGCTGGGTCGCTCCCAAGGATGAGGAGCGGCTGGGAGGCACGCCGGGC